ACACACACACACACACACACACACACACACACACACACACACACACACAGAGCACAACGATCAAGAAGCCTCCCCAACACGATTCCCGTTCTAAGCTGCGGCGATGCGGGGTAGCACGACAGGCACTCCCCTCAACGATTCCTGTTTTCCCGCCTCTTCTCGGTTCGCCTCCTCTGCTTTCTGCGGCTGACTTTTCTCTTCCTCGTCCTCCTCCCTCTCTTCCTCCTATCCTCCTCCTCCTCCTCCTCCTCCATCCCCTCTTCTTCTTCATCCACTTCGTGCATCTTGCTCTGCTATCCTTGTGAGGCACGAGAAGGTGGGGTTCAGGAACGTCCAGCGGGCACACATTGATGACCGAGAGTGATTAAGCTCAGCGCAGATCCACACAGAGAGGGTACAAAGAGCAAGCGAGCCGCAGACACACGAAGGAAGCCAGCAAGAAGGGGGGGGGGGAGAGAGAGAGCGAGGGAGAGAGAGGGAGAGACAGAGACGGAGAGAGAGAGAGATTGTGTGAGGGGAGAAGGGAGAAGGAATTGTCGAAGTGGAGGGGTTGGGAAGAGTCGGAAACCGAGGGGGTCTCACCTTAGGCGATGATGATGGGAATGGCGATGGCGAGGAGGATGGCACTCTCTTCCCCCTCGTTGTGCACCACCTTGCAGATGACGTCCCGCGCACTGGCTTTCATACGGACACGCATGGCACACCACTCACGAGCATGCCCTTGCTCCTGATGACACTCTCTCCCCTCCGTTGTGCACCACCTTGCAGATGAGCTCCCGCACACTGGCTTTCATCGCATGGCACACCACTCACGAGCGTGCCCTTGCTCCTGACTGCCCACACCTTCCCTTATATTTCTCTTGTGCGGGCATGCTCCTGCAAGGCGTGCACGGAAGGGATCCTGCTCACAAGCGCAGCGCATCCCCGCTTGTGTCCTTGCTGCTGAATTCAAGGTAGCTGTGGAGACGAGTTGGCCCCATCGCAGGCAAGCTGGGCAGGATCTGGCGATCACATGCAAGCGTGCATTACACAAGTGCGGTCGATCCCCGCGTGTGTCCTCTCTGCTGAATCCAAGCTGGCTGTGGGGACCAGTTGGCGCCATCGCAGTCGATCCCCACGTGTGCTCGGTGCTGAATCCGAGCTGGTTGGCATGCCAGCGCGTGTTATGGGAATTTCGAAATTTTTGACAGAAACTGTGCCCGAGTGGCGCGGGACGGCTGTGGGGACAAGTTGGCGCCATTGCAGGCAAGCTGCGTGGTGTCTCGGAATCACGTGCAAGCGCGCATTACGGGAATCTGGAAGTTTTTGACAAAAAACTATGCCCCCGCCACTGTACTACCCCGGAGAATGTCGAGAGCCGGGCTGTGGGGGCGAGTTGGCGCCATCGCAGGCAAGCTGCGTGGTACCTCACGGTCACATGTACGGGCCAGATCCCAATGGCAAAGAGGATTGGAAGAGGTGTCTGAATCTAGACGTGTTCCACGCAGAGGTGCGGAGAAGTAGATCAATCACAATTTTTCGCACCTGTCCACAATCACGTCCACATTCAGACACTTACTACAATCCTCTTTGCCAGTGGGATCTCGCCCTAACTTGATGTAAGCGCGCGTTACGGGAATTTTGAAGTACTTGACAAAAAACTATGCCCGTGTGACGTGCCGCGCCACTGTGCTACCCGGAGAGTGTAGAGAGAGTCGAGACTCGAGAGACGTGTCTAGGTCAGAGGGCATACTCACCGACTTTTTTTTTTTTTACTTTTTCTTTTTTTGTGGTGGCAATTGGACTCAAGTGCGTCCGGGCGGGGTCGGAAAAAGCAGTCATGCCGCGCCACTGTACTACCCGGAGAGTGTCGAGAGAGTCGAGACTCGAGAGACGTATCTATCTCAGGGCATACTCACCGACTTTTTCCACTTCTCTGTGGTGGCAATTGGAGTCAAGTGCGTCCAGGCGGGGTCGGAAAAAGCGGTCATGTACATTCCATAAATTGTCGTGTGAAACAGCCGGTGCCCAGCACTCTAAGTACAATGGGCCTCGCAGCACTACTCTTGAAATGCACAAAAGACAAAAATCACTGCCGTGTATCTTTCCATGTTCTAGCGGAAGATTCACTCTCGTTTTGCACATTTCAAAGAGTAGTGCAGCGAGGCCCAATGTGTTTGTTAGGGAAAAAGGAAAAAAAAACAGAAACAAATCTGGACATGCATACCTTTCTCGACTTTTTTTTTTTTTTTTTTTTTTTTTTTTTTTTAACAAGAAGGATCAATCAAGTGTAGTACCCCTGGGCCAAGGCCCCACTAGCAAAGAGGATTGGATTCGGCTCCTGAATCTGGATATGTTTTAAGCAGAGGTGCAGAAAAGCAATTCAATCTCGATTTTCTGCATCTTTTTCCCAAACATGTGCAGATGCAGGCATTCAATCCAATCCTCTTTGCTAATGGGACCTCGCCCCTGGTGTTTGATATGCTATATGTCAACTTTGAGAAGCCTTGGGCACTGGGCCCTTATAATAAATTGACAACCACTTTTCCCTCACCTGATTTTCCGTATTTTTGTTTTTTTGTTACTTTTCACCAATTGCTATCGTGTCAGGGTTACCTCCCGAGATTACCGCAAATTCCCAACCCCGCAGCCTTTCAGGCCTCCGACAAAAGGGCTCACCAATGAGTAGTTTGCGAAAATGCGAACTGGGTGTGACTGCCCCTCGACACTATATTCACCTCACACTACCTACCTACCACTACTTCTACTTGTAGGCATACGGGGAACCCCGTAGCAGCTAGAACCGTGTTCCCGAGAGAACATCTGGGGGCTGCTCCCGACCTGCAGGTGGGCGATACCGGGATTTGGTACCGCAGTGTGAGTTTGCCCTAACAGGGATTTTTTTTTATTTTTTATTTTTTTTTTTTGAGGCAACTGCGCCTGTGACTGCTGCACAATTCAGAATTCGCAGAAATAACAGTCCACTGCAAGCTTGGGCGAAGATCAGTTAGAAACTGCAAGAAAAACAGTCAATCATGCATTCAACGGCCTTCCAGCGCAATAATTGGCAAAAACGGGAGCTGGCCGTACTGGTACTCCTCTTTTTCCCGTGGCCTGGCCTGGGAGCAGTTACCGGTAGTAGGCCCTCCCGTTTTTGGCTCGTTTCCCCAGGGGTGTGGCCTAGGCATCTCGGCCGTGGGCTAGACGTCTCGGCAGTGGCCCAGCCACGGGCATGGCCTAGACATCTCGGCCGTGGCCCCGCCATGGCCATGGCCAAGACATCTCGGCCATGGCCCAGCCACGGGTGTGGCCTAGACAGCTCGGCCGTGGCATAAGCAGGTGCGGAAATAAAAAAAATAAAAAAAACAGCAGGCCCAAAAAAAAAAAAAAGAAAAAAAAACACACGAGTGGCCGCCTGATTTTGCCACTTCTGAACTTCCAACGGCTAGAAGTGCACCAAGCTGTTCTTTCTGTTTTTGCAGTTTCTAACTGCCCTCGGCCCAAAACCGCAGTGCACTGTTATTCCTGCAAATTCGGAACTGTGCAGCAATCACCCGCGCAGTTATTTCTTTTTCAAAAAACAAAAACAAACAACGCATGTCATCGCAGAATGGTGGATAGCCTGGAAAAAATGGTGGATAGCCTGGAAAAAATTGCGCTCTACAACAAGAGCGGCACCCACCACATGTGAGGATGTTATGGGACAGCCACTATTCGACAATGAAACAATATTACAAGTGGAAGGTAGCTGCTTTTCCGCTTCAAGACAACCAGGAAATTTTGGCAGGCGGTGGGCCGAGAAAGGCAGAGAAAGGTATGCATGTCCATATTTTTTCTTTTAAAATATGGCGCAATCAGATACTCAACTGATCACAACAGATACTACACTTTTTTTTCTTTTTTTTTTTTAAATGGTTGTCAATTTATTATAAGGGCCCAGTGCCCAAGGCGTCTCAAAGTTGACATATAGCATATCAAACACCAGGGGCGAAGTCCCATTAGCAAAGAGGATTGGATTGAATGCCTGCATCTGCACATGTTTGGGAAAAAGATGCAGAAAATCGAGATTGAATTGCTTTTCTGCACCTCTGCTTAAAACACGTCCAGATTCAGGGGCGGAATCCAATCCTCTTTGCTAGTGGGACCTTGGCCCAGGGGTACTACACTTGATTGATCCTTCTTGTTAAAAAAAAAAAAAAAAAAAAAAGCCAAGAAAGGTATGCATGTCCAGATTTGTTTGTCTATTTCCCCCCCCCCCACCCTAACAAACACATTGGGCCTCCCTGCACTACTCTTGAAATGTGCAAAACGAGAGTGAATCTTCCGCTAGAACATGGAAAGATACACGGCCATGATTTTTGTCTTTTGTGCATTTCAAGAGTAGTGCTGCGAGGCCCAGTGCTGGGCACCGGCTCTTTCACACGACAATTTATGGAATGTACATGACCGCTTTTTCCAACCCCCCTGGACGCACTTGACTCCAATTGCCACCATAGAGAAGTGGAAAAAGTCAGTGAGTATGCCCTGAGATAGACACGTCTCTCGAGTCTCGACTCTCTCGACACTCTCCGGGTAGTTCAGTGACGCGGCATGACTGCTTTTTCCGACCCCGCCCGGACGCACTTGAGTCCAATTGCCACCACAAAAAAAAAAGGGTAAAAAAAAAAAAAAGTCGG